AAAAAAATGAATTCCCTGTATGTTAAGTGACATTTAAGATGATCCAAGGCACTTGCTTTTCCTAGTCCATTCTAATCAATTTTTGTTTTGTTTTTGTTTTTTTGAGGTGAAGTCTCGCTCTGTTACCCAGGCTGGAGTGCTATGATGTGATCTTGGCTCGCTGCAAGCTCTGCCTCCTGGGTTCAAGCGATTCTCCTGCCTCAGCCTCCCTGAGTAGTTGAGACTACAGGTGCCTGCTACCACACCTGGCTAATTTTTGTATTTTGGTAGAGACGGGGTTTCACCCTGTAGGCCAGGCTCAAGTGATCCACCTGATCTGCGGTTCAAAGTGCTGGGAATGCAGGTGTGAGCCACCACACCCAACCCGTTCTAATCTTTATTAGCTTGTGGATTAATTCTTTATTATGATTAATTCATCCAGGTAATACACAGATGCCCTTCCCCTGCCATATGGGATGAAAGTCCCCGTCATAACCCTCCACAAATGTTTGCTTAGCTGGTCTTCACAGCCTGTGCCATAAAACCAGCGAAGCCTTCTGGCTGTCACTGTAGAAACCGGGCACAGCCCCTTGATCAAATTCTATAATCTTGGTTTATTTAACTTGTCCCTGCCTGTTCCGTTGTCCCTGGGTGAAAGGTCACCATTCACAACCATTCTATTCAAACTGCCTGTTTTGTCATTGGAATTTGTTGCCAACATTTAATGTACCATCTTTCTTTGATTCTGAGATGTACATTCTTTTTCACATTCCAACTCCTCTGAAATCAGACCACTTCTAATAAGCGATGTAATTAGAAAGCATGGTGTTACTGATAAATTGGCCGTGTTTATTCTTTTCTGAGCGCTACACAAAATAATGGTGCCCTTCACAATCAACTGTGTCTTCGCTCTGATGAAATATGGTCTCCCTGTGTGATCCTGGTTGAATGGATTCTCACCAAGTGTTCTGCCTATCAGCCAACCCAAGTGGAGTGTTCCCTGTTGGCTAACAATGTGTTCCTTGCCAGCGCAGGCCTAAGCATTGTTATACCCACTTCTTCATGCAGCAACGATTTATTGTATACCTCCTTGCTCTGCTGGATTTTCTAATGCAGAGGATAAAAGCAGCCACCTGGCCAGGCTTGGTGCCTCATGCATATAATCCCAGCACTTGGGAATGCTGAGGTGGGAGGATCACTTGAGTCCAGAAGTTCAAGACCAGCCTGGGTAGCACAGTGAAACCTTGTCTGTACAAATCATTTTTTAAATTAGGAAGTAAAAAATAGTGGTGCATGCCTGTGTCCCAGCTACCAGGGAGGCGGAGGCTGGAGGATTGCTTGAGTCCAGGCGGTCAAGGCTGTAGTGAGTCTTGATGGCAACACTGCACTCCAGCCTGGGCAACAGAACAAGAACCCATCTCAAAAAAAACAAAAAACAGGCGAAGCACAGTGGCTCATGCCTGCAATCCCACCTCTTTGGGAGGCCGAGGCAAGTGGATCACTTGAGGTCAGGAGTTCAAGACCAGCCTGGCCAACATGGTGAAACCCCTTCTCTACTAAAAATTCAAAAATTAGCCAGGTGTGGTGGCACATGCCTGTAATTCCAGATATATGGGAGGCTAAGGCAGGAGAATTGCTTGAAGCTGGGGGGTGGACGTTGCAGTGAGCTGAGATTGCACTACCGCACTCCAGCCTGGGCGACAGAGTGAGACTCCATCTCAAACAAACCCAACCACCCTTGTGTGAGATATAGCCAGAAAATATGTTTTGTTTCAACTGTATTTTTTTCATTGGAATTTGTTGCCAATATCTAAAAATTGGGAGTTTGCATGAAAAAGATCCTGGGTTTCCAGCTTCTCTTGGGGAGCGTGGGAGGCCGGCAGCACTGTGCATTGCTGTCGTCCCTGGTGATTTGGTGGTGGCTCTTCTTCTAGAGGAGGGCCTGGGCTCTGGGATCGCCCCGTGGTCTCGTTCACGCTGGCCGATTTCACGTATTTCCTGGGCAGCCTGGACCGGGGCCTGGACCGGGGGTGTCTTCAGGGGCTTCTGCAGGGTTCCTGGCGGTGGCTGTGGGTGGGCTGCAGGTGTGGCGAGAGACAGTGGCTCCCTTCTCCCAGGACGTTTCTGGTATCTCAGATAACAGAAATTCCACATCACTTCTAGTCCTCTAAATAGTCTCTTTCTAGAAATTGTACAGACTGGTTCCATGCAATGACAGCACTTGGAGCTCCATTTAAGTCATATCCTCCCCACCCCTCAGCCTGGCCTCGGGTGGAGGCTTGATAGGGAGGATCTGGTCAGCCTCCCTCATCTGCTCAAAATCTCTCCTCCCCTCCCCATCGCCAGCCAAAGCCTGCCCTTCCTTCCTTCCTTCCTTCCTTCCTTCCTTCCTTCTTTCCTTCTTTCCTTCTTTCCTTCTTTCCTTCCTTCTTTCCTTCCTTCTTTCCTTCCTTCTTTCCTTCTTTCTTTCTTTCTCTTTCTTTCTTTCTTTCTTTCTTTCTTTTTCTTTCCTTCCTTCCTTCCTTCTTTCCTTCCTTCCTTCCTTCTTTCCTTCCTTCTTTCCTTCCTTCTTTCCTTGTTCTTTCCTTCTTTCTTTCCTTCTTCTTTCCTTCTTTCTTTCTTTTCTTTTCTTTTCTTTCTTTCTTGATGGAATTTCACTCTTGTCACCCAGGCTGGAGTGCAGTGGTACGATCTCAGCTCACCACCACCTCCGCCTCCCGGGTTCAAGTGATTCTCCTACCTCAGCCTCCTGAGTAGCTGAGATTACAGGCATGTGCCACCACGCCCGGCTAATTTTGTATTTTTAGTAGAGACGGGATATTTCCATATTGGTCAGGCTGGTCTGGAACTCCTGACCTCAGGTGATCTGGCCGCCTCGGCCTCCCAAAGTGCTGGGATTACAGGCATGAGCCACCACACCCAGCCTTTTTCTTTCTTAAACAGCTTTATTGAGACATAATTCACATATCATATAATTCATCCATTTAAAGCATATAATTTAATGGTTTTTAGTGTATTCACAGATATATACAGCCATCACCACAGTCCATTTTAGAACATTTTTTTTTATATTTTATTTTATTTGAGACAGGGTCTTACTCTGTTATGTAGGCCATAGCACAGTGACGTGATCACGGCCCACTGTAGCCTCAGCCTTGACCTCCCAGGCTCAAGCGATCCTCCCACCTCAGTGTCCTGAGTAGCTGGGATTATAGGTACACACTGCCACATCCAGCTAATTTTTATATATACATATATATATATATATATATGAAATTAAAAAATGTTGCCCAGGCTGGTCTCGAACTCTTGAGCTCAAATGATCTGCCAGTGTGATCCTCCCGAGGTGCTGGTATTATAGGTTTGAGTTACTGTGCCTGGCCTTAGAAGATTTTCTTTTTTCTTTTGAGATGGAGTCTCACTGTGTCGCCAGGCTGGAGTGCAATGGCACAGTCTCGACTCACTGCAACCTCCGCTTCCCAGGTTCAAGTGACTGGCCGGTCTCAGCCTCCTGAGTAGCTGGGATTACAGGTGTGAGCCACCACACCTGGCTAATTTTTATATCTTTGGTAGAGACGGGGTTTCACCATGTTGGCCAGGTTGGTCTCAAACTCCTGACCTCAGGTGATCTGCCCGCCTGGGCCTCCCAAAGTGCTGGGATTACAGGTGTGAGCCACCACTCCCGGCCTAGAACATTTGCTTATTGCCTCAAAAAGAAACGCTGTGCCTTTTAGCTATCCCTCTACATTCCCGCCTGTGCCCACATCCCAGCCCTAAGCAGTTGCTCATCTTTCTTTCTGTGTAGGTTTCCCTATTGTGAACATCCCTTATGAGTGGACTCACGCACTGAGTGGCCTTCTGTGTCTGGCTTCTACTCAGCAGCACATTTTCCGGGCTCATCCATGTGGTGGCGTGTGCCGGTGCCTCTTTCCTTTCTATGGCTGAAGGGTATTCTGCTGCATAGATAGACCACATTTGACTCATCCATTTGTTCACTGATGGACGTATGGGTTGTCATGGTTTCTTCATGATTATTTTTACATTTTTTAAAGGAAAACTTCAAGCATGTACCAAAGCAGAGAGGATGATAAAGTGAACACTATGTAGCCACTACCCAGCTTCAACAGTGGCCCACTTGCAAACACTCTTGCCCTATCTGCAGCCCACCCCTGGCCATGTCAAACTGGACACCAGGCACCAGGCGTCATACCTCTCCACCACTTCAGGAGTGCGGGATGTGGGGCCATTCGGCCCTGATGTTGTGGAGTCTCAGCCAAAAGGGGCAGAAGGAGCCCCCTCCACACATCCTCTCACCTGTTGACACACCCAGGGAAGGGGCATCCGTGTGCTGTAGCCCCAGTCTCATTGCCAAGACAGCATCTCACTGGCTCAGCTTGGGCCACACGCTCCCCTCAAATCCAGTCAACCTGGTTATGGGGGAGTGGGGTCGCACCATACGGGGAGAGCTGGAGGGATAAGAAAGAAGTGAGCAGATACCCTGAAACGGATCCACACAGTAGGCAAGGGCGTCGCTGTGGCTCTTCACCTCCCCTGACCTGGGCTTCCTTGTCTGGCTTCCTCACAGGAAGTGTCTACACCACTACGCTCATGAAAAGTGAAATTCAAGGGACCCATGAGGGCCCTTGGAACCGAAAACTCTTACTCCCACTTACTGTCTGATTCTGGGAGTTCCTTTCATGGGACCCAAAGCCTTTTCTAATAAATGAGAATAATGTAAATACAAGATATTTTTAAAGAGGCAAAACAGCTGACAGACTAATTCACACTAAGGTGTGGATGACTGACAGGCTAGGTCCCTTCCCAAGAGCAGGGTCTGCAGGGGAGGGCTCAGGACAACGGGTGCTGAAGAAGGAGGCAGGTGCACCTTAGGATTGGGAATGGAGAATAGAACCAGGATGCTGGGGACACCTAAGACAAGCTTCACCAGCCAAAGCATTGCCAGCGCCAGCTGAGAGTCACACACTCCTTAAGGAGGGGACTCATCTGCCCTTTCGCTCCAGCCTGGCTGTGGCGGCCATTCCCGAGGGTCTGCCCATCGTCGTCATGGTAACGCTGGTCCTGGGAGTGCTGCGGATGGCCAAGAAGCGGGTCATCGTGAAAAAGTTACCCATCGTGGAGACTTTAGGTGAGGGACTCCGGCCGGTGGAGTTCTTACTTGTGGAATTGAATGGGGGCTTGGCTGTCAGGGCAATCCAGCCTGGGGGTTTCACAAGCCTGAGGGTGGCGACTTTTCTAGAAACTGATGTTTGTTGTGCCAGGTTGCTGCAGTGTTCTCTGTTCTGATAAGACGGGTACTCTGACTGCCAACGAAATGACAGTGACCCAGCTTGTAACGTCAGATGGGTTTCATGCCGAGGTGAGTCCCAGAGCAATTTACAAGCCTTAAAGATGCACCCAGCCAGGCTGTCTCCTTTCTAGACAAAGCACACAATGTCTTCTAGAACACAATAAGGAAGAAAGAAATGGAGGTCATCTTATAATCTTGCTAACATGACTGATTTTCTTTTTAATCATCCCATACTTCCTTTCAAAAGACGACCAATTTAAGGTAGCCTCCTTTTTCAGTTACTTATTAATTGTAAGCACATTACAAAATTTAACAGCTAGCAAAAAATTTCCATACCTTCCATGATAAACTAACCATGATTAGTCCATTTGTGGTTTTTTTGTTTGTTTTTGAGAGACAGAGTCTCGCTCTGTCACCCAGGCTGGAGTGCAGTGGGTTGATCTTGGCTCACTGCAACCTTCACTTCTCGGGTTCAAGTGACTTTCCTGCCTCAGTTTCCCAAGTAGCTGGGACTACAGGCACGCCCCACCATGCCCAGCTAATTTTTGTATTTTCTAGCAGAGATGGGGTTTCACTATATGTTGGCCAGGCTGGTCTCATACTCCTGACCTCAGGTGATCCACCCGCCTTGGCCTCCCAGAGTGCTGGGATTACAGACATGAGCTACCATGCCCAGACTGTTTTGTTTTTTAAGACAGGGTCTTGCTGTGTTGCCCAGGTTGCAGTGCAGTGGTGCAATCATGGTTCACTGCAGCCTCTAACTTCTGGGCTCAAGGGATCCTCCCACCTCAGCCTCCCAAGTCCGCTCGTGTGTTTCAGTGTCTTCTGTGTGCTTGGCGCAGTTGGAAGCTCCCTGAAGGTGCAATTTTTTATCCTGATATTTTTTCTACAAAACTGGTCAAAGCAAGGGGTGAACAAATGATTGCCCATGGGCCAGTGCTTGTTTGCAAATAAAGTTTTCTTGGTGTACCGCCACACCCATTTGTGTACATGTTGCCAGTGGCTGCTTTCTTGCCTCAGTGTGCCGCAACGGCAGAGCTGAGTAGCCACGACAAACTTGGAAATAGGCTGCAAAGGCTAACACGTTTGCCTCCCCACCCCGTTCTTAGAATATAAGCACACTTCTATGCTAGTTCTTAGTTTTCTTAATCATCACTTGTACTGGCTGCAGAGTGTCCTACTGAGTAAACTTGCTGCAGTTTACTAATGCCTGGCACTGTGTCCATCAGTGACGTATCCGATTCATCAGTAATCTTGCAGAGAACATCTTCATACTGAAAGCCCTGTCCACGTTTAGGATTATGTCCTTGGAATGAATCCCCAGGACAGGGATTGTGGGCCAACCGGGGGAGCATGTTTTTGACTCTTGGTGACACCCTTTCTTCTGCCTCGCCCTGCAGGTCAGCGGAGTTGGGTATGACGGTCGAGGGACTGTGTGTCTTCTACCATCCAAGGAAGTCATTAAGGAATTTTCCAATGTCTCAGTAGGAAAGTTAGTGGAGGTAGGTGTCAAAAGCACCACGGGGGAAATAGGCATTTACACTGGGGCTTCTGGGGCTTCTCTCTGAAAAGGGAAACAGCCGTTGGACTTACTGGTTCTTGACAATGACTGGACCACCCAGGGGTGAGGCTGTCACAGCACTGAAAAAATGGCCCCAGAACTGATGGAGACATCAGAGGTAAGAGGAGAGCTAGGCTGGGCACAGTGGCTCATGCCTGTTATCCCAGCACTTTGGGAGGCCAAGACAGAATCACTTGAGGCCAGGAGTTTGAGACCAGCCTGGGCAACATAGTGAGACCCTGTTTGTATTATTTTTTTAAAACAATACTTAAAAAGAAGAGCTAGAAGCCTGTATTCTAATCACTGCCCATGGGAAGGCTCTAAGGAGACTCCTGCACAGAGACGTGCCTGATGAATGGTAAAAAGTGAGCCTGTGATGAATTTCTCCTCTTGCTATGAGCGAGCATGTGATAATTTTCCCCTATTACTTAGTGAGCCTGTGATAATGTTCCCCTGTTGCTGTGATGAGTCCTGCAATCCGAGTTGTACTCACCGTTTCGCAGGGGCTCACTCCTCCCCACATAGCACCCTTCTTCGTCTGTACAGTTCGGTGAGCGCCACTTGCAGAGGACCTGCCTTCAGGGGCCACTTCACTGTCACAGCGAACGCTGTCTCGGTTTTGCAGATTAAAAAACAAAAATATGGGCAGGCGTGGTGACTCATGCCTGTTACCCCAGCACTTTGGAAGGCCAAGGCATGTGAATCACCTGAGGTCAGGAGTTCAAGACCAGCCTGGTCAACATGATGAAACCCCATCTCTACTAAAAAATATAAAAATTAGCCAGGCATGGTGGCGCACACCTGTAGTCCCAGCTACTCAGGAGCCTGAGACAGGAGAATTGCCTTGAACCAGGGAGGCAGAGGTTGCAGTGAGCTGAGGTCATGCCACTGCACTCCAGCCTGGTGACAGAGTGAGACTCTGTCTCGAATGAATGAATGAATGAATGATGAAACAAAAATATGCAAAACTAGCAAGTAACAATAAAAAAGAAAAGAAACGGGCAGAGAAGTAATGTGAGTGTCCAGGCTCACCAGGCCGGAAAGGAAGGGTGCCGGGAATCCCGCTCTTTCTGCTTGTCTCTTGTTCATTTTTTAAATATTTATTTTTAAATTGAGACAGAAGTCATCTACCATGAATTCAGCCCATTAAAGTGCACAATTCAGTGGTTTCATTATGCTCATAAGTTGTGCAACCATCACCACTGTCTAGAACACTTTGTCACCCCAAGTGGAAACGCCATCATCCCCATTACAGGTCACTCCCCGTCACCTGCCTCATCATCGCCCATCCACCTGCCTCCCTGCTGGGTTCCCTCATGGTAGCTTTGTGGGAACCAACATTCAGCACAGCCAAGAAATAGTCACCGTGTTCCTTTTAAAAAGCCAGGACGCTGCGCTGTTTTAAAGAGCAAGTCTCGTCCCTACAGCCCCAGCTGTAAAACTGGGAAAAGCCCACAGTGTCTAACTTTTTCATGAACCCAGTACTAACTACAGATGTCGGGATAATCCCCTTTTAGGCGGGCTGTGTCGCCAACAACGCGGTCATCAGAAAGAACACTGTGATGGGACAGCCCACCGAGGGTGCCCTGATGGCCCTGGCAATGAAGGTAGGATGTCCTGGGGTGTCTGTGTGGGGAATTCTTCCACTCGGGTCTGGATTCGTTGGTAGAAAGCCAGCTCCTGTCTGAGCTAACAGGACTAGGGATGTTAGGTAATCATGGAAGAAAATGGCCCAAGCTGGCCGTGGGCCATCTGTTGGTGGTAGAGGAGGTGAGCTCTGAGATTCCACGGGACTTCAGAAAGTTCTGCAGGTCTCTAATCCCTCCTCCAGCGATTCCAAAAGAGTCCTAAGAGCTCCCTGTGGTTCAGGCCCTGGTCAGGTGTTGGGGCGACAGACAGTGGAACAAGACTCCCTGTGCGTCCAACATGACCCTGTGCTCACCGAGGCACCATTGGGAGGGGCTGGTTCCTGGGAATGCATTCCAGTGACTCTGGGGCTCAGTGTTACATCCTGGGCCCTGTGGCTGTGCAGGGTTACCCCAGGTCATTCTGTGTCCAGCATCATGTACCAAGTGGCTGCTTGCAGTGTGGAGGGGATGGATGGGGGCTGATGGGGGTCTGCTGCGCTCTGTGCACAAGTTAGCAGAAGGAAAGCCAGAAAAACATGGGCTGGGAATGCAGGTGACAGGAAAGCAAGAAGAGAGGACAAAGGACATGGGAAAGGAGGGGCTGGAAGAGATTAAGAGGAGGGAGCAAAGGAAGGAGGAAGATGGCCCCAGTCAGCTCCCACGTCTGTTTCCATGGCCCCTTGGCCTGGATCCCTCCTCTTCAGCCACAGCCGGGGCTCCCCTGGACACTGCGGGAGCTCCTCTCCCCCGCCTGCCCCGTGCTTTCTGCAGTGTGACTTGTCTCTGACTCGGGTCTGATCAGACCCCTCTCCATCAAGGTCAAGGGAAAAGCCTGACTCCGGGTGCTCATCTGCCAGCACTGACCCCTCGCTGCCACCCAGCCTGGCCCCTCGCTGCCACCCAGCCTGGCCCCTCGCTGCCACCCAGCCTGGCCCCTGCACTCACCCCCCTTCCTGCTTCCTCCTGGACTTTGACTGCTCCTGCCTGTCCTCACTGGCGAGCACCGACTTTCTCTTCAAGTTCACTCCAGTTTCCATCCCAGCAGACACCTCTTCTCACCCCGGGCTCACTTCACTGCTTTCTGTTATCAACTTACCTGTCCCTCCCTCCAGTGCAAGACTCCAACCTCCCACACGGCTGCCTTCCCGAAGCTGGTGCTGGGTGCGGGGGAGGTGGTTGCCCTCTCATAAGCCCCTGTGACGGTAGATCAGTTGTTTTTCCCCAGTGTAAGAGCATTGGGAAGTCATTACAGGCTGAGTGCAGTGACTCAAATCCCAGCACTTTAAGAGGCTAAGGTGGGAGGATCACTCAAGGCCAAGAGTTTGAGACTAGCCTGGGCAACATAGCAAAACCCCATCTCTACAAAAAATATAAAAGTTAGCTGGGCGTGGTGGTGCATGGCTGTGGTCCCAGCTACTCAGGAGGTGAGGTGGGAGGATCCCTTGAGCCCAGGAGTCTGTGGCTGCAGTGAGCTATGATCATACCACTGCACTCCAGTCTAGATGGCAGAGTGAGATCCTGCCTCAAAAAACAAAAAGGCTGGGCGTGGCGGCTCACACCTGTAATCGCAACACTTTGGGAGGCCGAGGTGGACGGATCACCTGAGGTCAGGAGTTTGAGACCAGCCTGGCCAACATGGCGAAACCCCATCTCTACTAAAAATATAAAAATTAAGTGGGCATGGTGGTGCACACCTGTAATCCCAGCTACTCGGGAGGCTGAAGCAGGAGAATTGCTTGAACCTGGGAGGTGGAGGTTGTAGTGAGCCGAGATCACACCATTGCACTCCAGCCTGGGCGACAGAGCAAGACTTTGTCTCAAAAAAACAAACAGAAATCATGACATCATGTGATTTTCCTTCCATTCACAGAAGATGATAATCCTCTCTGCAGCGTCTGTAATAGTGAACGGAGCTCATTTCCCGTTTTAAAATAGCGCTGAGTCTGCTCCATTCAACAACTCCTCGCTGCCCAGAAGGGAAGGTGCCGGCCTGACTGTCTGGCAGGAATGACACCCACGTGTCACCCTGCTCCCGCCACCAGCCGCCCCTGCAGCCTAGAGAGGAGAGAGTTTCCAGAGCCTAGAAGCTGGGAGATTTCCTTAATGTGTCATGATTCTCCTCTTTCCCGGGGCCTGGCTTAAGATTTGAGAATATAGAATAAACACTGGCTGGCGCGTAGGAAGTGCTGCCTGTGTGACAGGCATGGGGCAAGCACTTCGTGGCTCTTACCCGTCTCTCCTGCTCTAAACGGCACTGAGGCCAGGCCAGTGGTTCCCAACTTTTCTTCCATTATTGCTCCTGGATTAGGGTCCTGAAATAAAGCACCACTGGCTGGTGATTTAGAGTAACGAAAACACCCTGAAACACAGCTCTGTGGGCCAGAAGTTGAAATCAAGGTGTGAGCAGGGCCAGGCTCCATCTCCCAGCTTCTGGGTGTCACTGGCAGCCCCGGGCATTCCTTGACTCGCACACACATCCCTGCCTTGGCTTCTCACACCGAGCTCTGCCTCCGTCACGAGGTGCTCCCTGCCATGGCTCCGTGCAGCGTTTTCCTCCTCCTCTTTTTTTTGTATTTGAGACGGAGTCTTGCTCTGTTGCCCAAGCTGGAGTGCAGTGGCTTGATCTCGGCTTACTGCAATCTCCGCCTCCCGGGTTCAAGCAATTCTCCTGCCTCAGCCTCCCGAGTAGCTGGGACTATAGGCACCTGCCACCATGCCTGGCTAACTTTTTGTATTTTTAGTAGAGACAGGGTTTCACCATGTTAGGATGGTCTTGATCTCCTGACCTCGTGATCCACCTGCCTTGACCTCCCAAAGTGCTGGGATTACAGGCGTGAGCCCCCGCGCCCCGCCTTCCTCCTCTTAGATCCATTCATGCTGGCTTAGGGCCAACCCTAATAGCCTCAAATGGACGATATCCACAGAGGCCCTATTCCAAATCAGGTCACATTCAGAGGTTCCGGGGTTAGGGCTTCAACATATCTTTTGTGGGGTACGATTCAACCCCACTAAGGAGAAGTTTTAAGCATTTTTCCCTAATCACCCCACCCCCTCCCCCTGAAATGTAATACTGCAGATAAACTGTGTTGTACGCATATCTGCACTTTCTATGTAAAAGGAGTAGCTTTTTGTGCCCCTGCTGCACCCCATTTTCACCCCTTGCAGGGCAGTGGGATGCATGGGTCATGGCTGGTTTACACTTGGGGAAACTGAGATTCTGAGTTGTCACGTCACTAATCCAAAAGCCATCAAAGAGCAACAAAGGGCCGGGCTGGTGAGGACCCCAGCCTGTGGACGCAGGGCTGGCGAGGACCCCAGGCTTGGATGCAGGGCTGGCGAGGACCCCAGGCTGTGGACGCAGGGCTGGCGAGGATCCCAGGCTGTGGACGCAGGGCTGGCGAGGACCCCAGGCTGTGGACGCAGGGCTGGCGAGGACCCCAGGCTGTGGACAGCAGGGCTGCCTTGCTGACTCTGGGGGTTCCTTTTGAGAAACTGCTACACCTTCAAGTCTGAAACGTTCCTCCCGGCAGAAGCACTGCAGGTTTGTTTCTAAGCAGATTTCAGATAGAAGCTGTTGCAAAGACCATCGGGGTCTACCCTGCAGCCAAGAGAAGAGACTTTTATTTTCTCTAGGTCGGACATTCCATTTTTTCCACACAGAAAAAATGGCCTTTTTGCTGTGTGCTAAATGCTTGGATTTCTTATCTGCCAGAGGTGGTTTGAACAATGAATAATTTAAATGGACTGAGTTTTGTGTAGAGATTGGCTTCAGATGACTCACTAAAAATGTGCATTTTATTATTCCAGATGGACTTAAGTGATATTAAAAATTCATACGTAAGAAAAAAAGAGATTCCATTCAGTTCAGAGCAGAAGTGGATGGCGGTGAAATGCAGTCTGAAGACTGAGGTGAGCCCTTTCAACCTTCAGCCTCTTCTCTCTTTCCGCCCAGGCCCCCACCCAGAAATCACGCATAATGCGGACTTCAAGGATAATTTCAAAGTTCCTGGCTGCTTCTGTGACATTCCAAATACATAGAAAAACCTAATCACCATCAAACCTTTGAGTCTCTTGGCTCTGCTTCTGGCTTTTTGTTTAAAACAGAAGTTCTCACAGCAGGGTCCCCGGAGTAGCCGCGGTTGTATCACACGAGAATTTATTAGAAATGCAGATCTCAGGTTCCATGCCAGACCTCCTGAGTCGGATGGTCAGGGATGGGACCCAGTAACCTTCGTTTTCTGCAGATTCTGATGCAGGTGCAAATGTTGAGATTTACCAGCCCGTAATCCACTGACTAAAGCCCTGCTGCTGACACCAGTTGCCAACTTGCCAGTCCTCTCTTTGCAGCTCTGTGCTAAGTTGTTTATACTTCTTAGCTCACCTTCCCGTCATACCGGGAAGCAAATGCTTCAGTACGGAAGGCGTGTCTGGGTGGCGCCTCAGCGTGTGCCCACACGTTGTTCCTGACTAGAGGAACACATACCAAGCTGTGGCCACCCCGGGTGGACATTACAGCTGATTTTTTAAATTTTCTTTTCAGACTTGTTGTGACTTTTCAGATTTTCATTAAAAGCTATTTTTTTAAGTTTTTGTTGCCTTCTACCTTTTTCTCCACCCCTCCTCTTCCTTCTCACTCTTTCTAGAACCTACCGTGTCTGCCCCTGCAGATTGCTCAGCTCCCACTCAGGGCTGTGGGCAGCTTGGCCAGCTCATATCAGGCCCCCTTGTACATTTCAGGGGCTTAGAAGGGATTACGGATTTTCAAAAAACTTTTAGATCTTTAAATCTTTTTCCCTGCAAGGCAATGGTAATATTTCTCATTGAAAAAGCATAGAAATATGACATAAAAATGAAAGCTTTTTTCATTTCACCCCTCTTCCCTCCCTGCCCACCACCCACCTGGCGGTAATTCTGTTTTAAGTCTGGGATGGAGCATTGTAGATTCTAAATATGCAAATGACAACATCTGGATGGTATTTTCAAAACAAGGTCACTGTTTATAGTGTTTATAATTTACTTTTTCCCCCTAAGATTTTCTTTTAATATTGTGTCTTAGATGCCTGTGTTGGTTAATATAAGCTTGTTATAGTAACATATTAATTATATAATATATTATGTAATATATTATAATTATATAAGTTAATATATTATTATATAATATAGAATATACATATAAATAATATAATGTAACATACATATAAATGATATACATACATATAATACATATGTATTATAATTAATATATTAACTAATAACATATATAATTAATATTATATTAACTTACAACAGTGTTATATTAACACTGTGCACCCACGTGAGCCAGGTGGGTCCAGTAGCGAGGCTGGGGATACAGCGTGACTTTCACTGACCCAGGGCCTCCCCACGTGGAGCTTACAGTCTACATATTTGTCACGACAGAGCTTAACAAAAACACAGGAAAAATGATCAGCTACTCACGTGGGTTCACTATGACAAGCCAAGTGCTAGGGGTGGGTACAAAATAGACTTGGTGATGCCCTAGGGAGGCAACAGTCTAACAGAAATATTCCCAGTTAATCACACCCCAAAGGCATAGTCCAAGCTGGGATGATACCTCCCATGCATGCAACATACAAGACGCTCTGAGTGACTGTAACAAGGGAACTGAAAAAAGAACAAGGGTGGTACAGGTTGAAGATTGACCTTGTTCTTTCTCTGGATTGCAAAACGTTCCATGGATGGGATTCCGGAACTTAGCGAACCTGTCCAGCACCTGTGAACAGCACCAGCCCACTGTAAATAACTCTGCTGCCAACGTCCCTGTGTGTGTCTTTGTAACCTTGTGCAGAGTGGGGTGATGGTTACTATGAACCAAGGCTTCCAGTGGTAGTGGATTTCTTCCCTTTGTCTTTTCTAAGGATCAGGAAGACATTTACTTCATGAAGGGGGCCTTGGAAGAGGTGATCCGCTACTGCACCATGTACAACAACGGAGGCATCCCCCTGCCGCTGACACCCCAGCAGAGGTCATTCTGCCTGCAGGAAGAGAAGAGGATGGGGTCCCTCGGTCTGCGGGGTCAGTGCCTGTGGCCCCAGCCCAGAGCTTTAAGCTTGCATGTAACATTGACTTTTAAGTGCATTCAAGCAGGATCCCCAGTCAAGGAGGTCACCTGTCCCAAGGAGTCAGGCAGCATGCTGACAACAACGACGTGTGCTTGGAACCTGATGGTCCCATGAAAGGCAGGCCCCCACCTCATCCCAGTTCCTCAGTGACCCCTGTTAATCCCCAGAAGAGGGGGACCCTCCCTTGCTGAGTTTCCTAAGGCAGGTGAATGGGCTGCACCCCAAACATTGATTTTCCCAATAGGTCTTTTTGCTCATTGCCTCTTATCAGGAAAACCTGAAGCTCTTTTCAGTCAAGGAATATATTTTCTCCCTTGGCCATTTTCAAATTTCTGCAGCAGAGCCAGTGCCTTCCCTGATGGGCTGAACATTAAAACTCACATTTCCCCTGGTGTCATTTGTCACCCTAGCCAGGTACAGAGGAAGCGTTTAGAAGCGCTGCTGGGCGCTGGTGTTCCCCTGGGGGGAGGTGAGAGGCGTTGGGCTGGCCTTAGGCACTGGTGTTCCCTTGGGGGGAATGAGAGGCGCTGGGCTGGCCTTATTGGCTCAGGAGCCTTGGTCTTCCCCTTCGGGGAACAGAGTTTGTAGGTTGCTGGCAAGTTTGCTCAGAGGTGTACAGAGCGAGACCCTTGTGGCTTTCTGGGGCACGGTGAAGCCAGCGCCGAGCATGTGTCCCCTCTTCCCGAGTGAGGGGAGCATTCCCCAAAGCACAGGTGCTTTGCCTCCCAAATGGTTTGTGTAGCGCTGGATCTGCAATAGGCCCACAGGTAAATACTGTGCTTCAGTTTCTCCATATGCATAAGGAAGGCACGAGAGTAGTGACTTCACTGATTGCTATAGGGATTGGAAGAGACGGTGGATCCCGTCTTAGCTTGCCCTGGGCCTTGACTCTGTTTCGGTGGCAGAGAAGCCAGGCCCAGCTCCTGCGAGCTGGGTGATCTGAGAGGGGCTGGTGTAAGAAGGTCCTTTTCACCTCACTGACACCAGAGACGGAGCTGTGGCGTCCCTCCTGCACAGTGGAGGGATTGGGAGAAAATCTGGCACGTGGGTGGCAGCTGCTGTCGTCATGGTTGATAGGACCAAGCCCTTCAGTAGCTCCCTGTTCTGGTCACATCGCGCCTCTGCTGACAATGAAACGGCTCACTTAAGAGTGGACACGTGAGTAAGTAAACATCCCACGTGGTCCTGGCCTCTAAATCTGCTCCTGGCACATAGGCCCCACCTGTGTACTGGGCACCATGAAGTGCCTGTGTGAGGCCACGCCCTGAATCCCCACCGGGCAGCGGAGCCAGCCCGGGTGACAGCCCGGCCTAGTGCAGCCAGCGCCTTCGCCCGGATGTCTGCTGCGCTGCTGCAGCGCATGAGGACGCGTTCCAGGGGCTTGCTCCAGACTTTGGGAGAGAGCGTAATGAGAACGGGTCAGTGGCAGAGGAACAGTGAGGCCTTTTCCTGTGTCCCCCAGTCCACACGCAGGTCCTTTTGTGTTTACAAATGAACTTGTCTCCCACCTGTGGCTGGGAAAGCTACAACCTGGGAACTGGCCTTAGAGAAGGCCTGTGCATTTTTCCAACCCGTGTCTGGCCTGAGAAGAGAAGGGATGTTATTCCTCAGCAGGCGACCGTGAACTGATGCCTGCTGCCTGGCAGGCCTGGGGCAGTGCCCGGGTGACTTAGAGAAGCCCCAACCTGCTAGATCCCCTGGAGTGACTGCTGTGAGGATTGGAAGAGTCAGTGAATCCTGTCTTGGGTTCTGAGACCCCCCACCCCACACACATCCAGGGGAAGATGACAAACCCCACGGAGTGGGAAGGAGAGTCGGGGTGAGGGGAGCACGGAGGCAGGAGTGAGGACCTCCGGGGACAGAGGGCTGCCAGGTGGCCACTAGAAGTAGGGGATGCTCCTGCTTCTAGTTTGGTGGCCGGGGGGGCATTGGAAAAGGGGAGGAAGAGCAGCAGTGTCATCGGTGCAGGAGGGATGCCAGCCCTGTCTTTGGTGTCAGTGAGGTGAAAAGTCCACCACCCCCTCTGAGATCACCCGGTTGGCAGGAGCTGGGCCTGGCTTCTGTGCCACCAAAAGAGAGTCAAGGCCCAGGGCAAGCTCACAGCAAGAGTCCCCTCAGCTGGGTCGCTCCCCTGTCAATTTTTAACCTCTGTGCAGCTCCCCCACGTCTGCTGGCAATGACAAAATGAGTTAGCACAGAGCAAATGAGGGCAAGAATTGTCAGAACTGTCCTATCCTACTCCACCTCACGTGTCCCATTCTGGGCCAGCTCAAACAGGTTTCTGTGGCCACTTTTGTTGGGAAGTGGGGTGGGTCTTATACCATGAGTGGTGTATTAGTCTGTTTTCATGCTGCTGGTAAAGACAGACCTGAGACTGGGTAATTTATAAAGAAAAAGAGGTTGAATGGACTCACAGTTCCACGTGGCTGGGGAGGCCTCGCAATCACGGCGAAGGTGAAAGGCACATCTTACATGGCAGCTGCCAAGAGAGAATGAGAGCCAAGCCGAAGGGGAAACCCCTCATAAAATCATCAGATCTCATGGGACGAATTCACTGCCACAGAACAGTATGGGAAACCACCCCCGTGATTCAGTTCTCTCTCACTCAGTCCCTCCCACAACCCGTGGCAATTATGGGAGCTGCAATTCAAGATGAGATTTGGGTGGGGACACAGTCAAACCCTATCAAGCGGACAGCAGTGGTATTTTCTGCTACGCAGCTGTTTCTGGCTCCCCTCTCTGTCTGGTGTGCATCTGCGCAGGCCTGAGAGCCGCTGAAGGCATCTCTGTCCTCCCTTTCAGTCTAGGGACTTGATGCCTGAGCCCTCCGCAGACCGAGGAAGATCTGGGCCATGGTGGGGGCTGGCTGGGGACTAACAAAGGGTTGGGCATGTTGCCTGACACCTGTCATCCCAGCACTTTGGGAGGCTGAGGTGGACGGATCACCTGAGGTCAGGAGTTTGAGACCAGCCTGGCCAACATGGTGAAACCCTGTCTCTACTGAAAATACAAAAATCAGCCGGGCCTGGTGACGCATGCCTGTAATCCCAGCTACTCAGGAGGCTGAGGCAGGAGAATTGTTTGAACCCAGGAGGCGGAGGTTGCAGTGAGCTGAGATTACACCACTGCACTCCAGCCTGGGCAACAAGAACAAAATTCCCTCTAAACAAAACAAAACGAAAAAACAAACAACAAAAACAGATGGCCCCTGAGCCCCCAGTGATCCCTCCTTACTCCCCCTCTTTCCTCAGTTCTGGCTCTGGCTTCTGGGCCCGAGCTGGGGCGGCTGACATTTCTGGGTCTCGTTGGCATCATTGACCCCCCGAGAGTTGGCGTGAAGGAAGCAGTTCAGGTTCTCTCCGAGTCTGGCGTGTCCGTGAAGATGATAACGGGAGATGCTCTGGAGACGGCCTTGGCCATAGGTAACCGGGACAGGGTCAGGGGTGAGGACGAAAGGACCCGTCCATCCTTTACAATGGGGGGCTGCAACCAAAGGGAAGCCTCAGCTAGCTTGGTCAGGAGGGCTCACACCTAGCCCTGTGGGCTTAGAAAAGACGCTGAGTATTCGTGGCCAGCATTCCAATTTCTGAGGTGTTTCCTGTTTCTGAAATGTTGGCAGGTTCTGCAAAAGGGGAAAAGTCCTCATGGATAGTGAGGACCTACTGTGTGTCAGGGGCTTTTCATCCACTGTCTTCACAGGCAGCATCATAGCCATGCAGAGTTTCAGTCTGCCGTCTGCCTCTAGCTGTGTACCCCTGGCAAACCATTGAACCACTCTGACCCTCAGTCTTCCTCAGTACAGGGCTAGCAGCCCTCCTGCTCTAGTTACTTTTTTTTTTTTTTTTTTTTGAGACAGAATCTTGTTCTGTTGCCCAGGCTGGAATGCAGTGGCACAATCTCAGCTCACTGCAGCCACTGCCTCCTGGGTTCAAGCAATTCTCCTGCCTCAGCCTCCTGAGTAGCTGGAATTACAGGCGCCTGCCACCATGCCCAGCTAATTTTTTGTATTTTAGTAGCGATGGGGTTTCACCATGTTGGCCAGGCTGGTCTTGAACTCCTGTCCTCAGGGAATCCGCCTGCCTTGGCCTCTGAAAGTGCTGGGATTACAGGCATGAGCCACTGCGCCCAGCCCCTCTAGTTACTATTATATGGGTTGTCACAGCCTGGGGCTGTGAAAAGGTTCATGGGCTTTGGAATCAGAGCCGTGTCGGGTTCCAGTGTTACTCCTTACCAGCTGTGCATCCTCAGCAAAGTCACTTGTGTTTCCTCACCTTTCAAGTGGGGATAATAAGGCATTTGGTGTAAGTTAATCCTGTGGATAGAACCAAGGCCACGCAGCATAGTAGGTCCTCAGTAAGGGGTCTCCAGCATGGTTTTATTCTCGATATTCCCTGTGGCCGAGGTAGGGCCGGGAGTGAGGGGTGGGGACGGGGGCCTCGGAGCAGACCCTCACAACAGGTTCTCCTGAAGGAAGAAACATCGGCCTGTGCAACGGGAAGCTGAAAGCCATGTCTGGGGAGGAGGTGGACAGCGTGGAGAAGGGCGAACTGGCTGACCGCGTGGGGAAGGTGGGTCCCCAGAGGCAAGGCTGGCGGCGGGGCTGGGTCACAGCTCTGAAATCTGATTCTTCGCCTTCCCTGTCTCCGTGTCCAGGTGTCCGTGTTCTTCAGGACCAGCCCAAAGCACAAGCTCAAAATCATCAAGGTTCGCTGGGTGAGGCGGGCACAGGCTGCGCTGCTGGGGCCGGGCCAGAGACACTGTGGCTCAAGGAGCTCATGCGTCTGTCGGGTGACAGTGCAGGGCCCAGCCGTGGCTTCCTTCTCTAGGTCCGGGGCAGCTGCCCCCGGGGTTACCTTTTCATAGCCAGGGGGAGGGGAAGAGGATGAGCAGGGGCACGCGGGCAGCTCCCTTGGAGAGGACGAGGCTCTGAAGTTGCCAACGTCACTTGCGCTCACAGCCCCTTGGCGAGAACGCAGTCATGGGCCCAGGTTTAGCTGCAGGGGATGCTTGGAAGTGTCATTTCTAGCTGGGTGGACACGAACCCCACTAAACCTGGGGATCCTTTTGAGGAGGAGGGGAGAACTGGGGGACCCTTGCCACATACACTGAAAACTGGGAACTGTAATTGGATAATGCAAAGGGGAAAAACTACAACAGAAGCTGTCTTTTTCGGTTTTTTTTTCTTTGTAGGGGGTCGGGGTGGGGTGAGTTGGAGGTACGGAGTCTCGCTCTGTCACCTATACTGGAGTGCAGTGGCACAATCTCGGCTTGCTTCAACCTCTGCCTCCCAGGGTCAAGCGATTCTCCTGTCTCAGCCTCCCATGTAGCTGGGATTACGGCCTGCACCACCACACCCGGCTAATTTTTGTATTTTTAGTAGAGACAGGGTTTCGCCATGTTGGCCAGGCTGGTCTCAAACTCCTGACCTCCGGTGATCCACCTACTTTGGCCTCCCAAAGTGCTGGGTGCTTTTTGGCATTATTCCTGTCATTCAACTCCGTGCCTCTGTTTCCTCATCTGTAAAATGGGGGAACTATTAATGCCGTCAGCTAATTCACAGGGTTGGTAGAGGATTAAACAAAGCCAGGCCCATGAAGCTCTTGGCACACAGCAGGTGCCCAATCAAGAGCTGATGTGATTTTTCTGACCCTGCATATGAAAGAAAGGTAGAAAACGTGCGGGTTTTCTCGCCTGTGCTCTGAAAGTTGGCCCTTGAGCTCTTTTAGTAGACGGGCTTCTTTCATGTCATTTTTAGCTCTACAGAGTAAATCTCTATGCGAGTTACTCCTCAAAGAAGGTAGTCATACTTACCAGGTACCTCATGGTTTCCAGAGCCACACTGTTGATTACCATTTTTTTACTGGGGATGGATCACCTTTATGAGCCTTTCCTGACCATGCTGGGCACCGTCACATCCGCCGTCTCAGTTTGGGCCTCACTACAGACCTGGGAAGAAGGAACTGTTGCTTCCACTTTGCAGATGGGGAAACTGAGGTCAAGAGGGTCAAGGGCTCACCCAATTCCCACAGCTAATGTGGGTGAAGCTGGGATTCAAACTCCACGTGCCCTCCAGACAGAGGTCTCTGTGGCTGGCCACAGGGTGTGTGTGGCCGGGCATTTCGAGCTGGTCCTCGGGCTGCGGGCCTTCATTGCCTGCTCTTTCCAAAGGCTCTGCAGGAGTCAGGGGCAGTCGTGGCCATGACTGGGGATGGGGTGAACGACGCGGTGGCCCTGAAGTCTGCAGACATCGGGATCGCCATGGGGCAGACAGGGACGGACGTCAGTAAAGAGGCCGCCAACATGATCCTGGTGGACGATGACTTCTCAGCCATCATGTAAGCTGCCCTTCTGGTAGTTTTTTAGTTGCAAAAATGCCTGGGGCCACCAGCTTCTCCCTGGGACCTGCTACTGTGGAGACAGAGGGGGTCTCGCAGAGTCCCCAGGGAGAGCTGAATCTCGGGGCTGGTCAGTGTGGCAGGTGCCCCCAACCCCAAACACCAAGAGCCTCTCATAGCAGGGTCATGGGGTCCACGGCCCCTGGGGCTAGTCACATGCCGCACCCAGGGGAATGTCACGGACATGAAGCAGGGATGGGATTTGCTGCCTGTGGGTGCATTTCATGTGTTCCTGGGAATACCCGCCGGGCTCAGGCTGGTGGGCAGCAGCTGAATCTGTAGGGAAAACCTGTGGCCAAATACATGGTCGCAGCTGAGTGTCGGGTGAGAAAGGATTACAGTGAGCATCTTCAGTGTGAGGCTCACGTGTCGATAGATACATCTCATGTATTGACAAGAGACCTGGGTGCAAACACCCCCACCGCTCCCCACCGAGGTGCTCTGTAGGTTCTGGGTTTACACAAAACTCTTTGTTCCATTTCACTTTTCTGTATTTTTTTTCTTAATACATTCACCTTCCCTCTGGATCTAATTTTAACTAGTTCTAAGACTGTCCTCATAAGCAAATCGTAGTAGTTGGGGGTGAGGGAAAACTTTTTTAAACCTGATATCAAAAAATCCAAATGAACAAATATTGAGGCCAGGTGTGATCGTGCACTTTACAAAGCTGTCGCCACAATTGATTGGCCATAGGAAGCCTTAACACGCTTAGTAAAAAAAAAAAGAAAAAAAAAGTCATAATATCAGCTCTATAGTGCTTTTGCAAAATTTTTTAGTAAAATCTGGCGGGGCGGGGCGCGGTGCATAGATGATTTTTCTACATGCGTGACCCCAGGTCAAGGTTTAAAAGGGCTTCCGTGCAGAGCCTTCTAAAGACAGAAGTAGGCGATGTCCTTCAGCCTCCCCATCCCTCCCTCCTTACCGTCCCCCGGACCTCATTTTTAGGCCTAACTGGTTTTGCTGCGTCTCTCTCTTCTCTTTGGTAAATTGCTGAGATGTACGGAGCACTTCGGGCGTCTGGGCAGGGATGGGATCCCTGGGCTCGGCAGAAGAGTAATTGATGGTCCAATTGGAGGTATCAAGTGTACCCTTGGCACAGAAGGGCGAACATGGCTCAAGGATCAGTCCCCAGTGACCAAGGGGCACCTGTTAGAACACTACCATCTCCTACAAATGTGTCCCCAAGAATGCCAGCAAGGGGAACCAGCAGAGGTCCAAGTACAGCGTCCATCTGGGCAAGTCCCCACTGCCCCTTGCAGCAACCAACGTACTGGCTGAGCCCTCCCGCAGGCCCTCTCTGTGAGTAAACGGCTCTCTTCCCTTGCAGGAATGCGGTGGAGGAAGGCAAGGGGATTTTTTACAACATCAAAAACTTTGTCCGATTCCAGCTGAGCACGTAAGTAGAGGCCGGCATTCCGAGTGTCATTAAGGGCCACACCTGGCAGGCGGCCGCTGACTGGCTGCGTGTGGCCCGCAGGAGCATCTCCGCCCTCAGTCTCATCACTCTGTCCACCGTGTTCAACCTGCCCAGCCCCCTCAACGCCATGCAGATCCTGTGGATCAACATCATCATGGATGGGCCGCCGGCGCAGAGGTAAGGCCGGGCCAGCTGGGAGCCTGTGTCTCCTTACCCCGCTTCGGGGCTGCCTGGGGCTGCTGGCTGTGCCCTAAGGCTATAGGGATGAACACACACTGCCGCTTTCCATCAGGAGTTCCCAGAAAACTGAAGTGTGTTGCACTGGAGTGAGACAGAGGCAGAGGAGAAAGTACCTGGGCTAGCAGGGCTGGACGAGGATGGAATTTTCTGCTCCCTCTGCCTGGATGCTCTCCCTGGGCGACCTGCTTTGCTTGTTCTCATTCTTCATTCCAGTCACTGCCTTCAGGAAGTCTTCCCTGATTGCACTCCCACTCAATCCCCTCACCCTCCTGTATTTTTCCCTAGAGATGGAAGATACACACACGCTTTTCCTTATGGGTCTGATTGTGATCTGTCTCCCCTTTAGAACATCAGCTTCGTGGAGGTGGAGTTTGTGTTTTATTCCTGCTGTCTAAAGCACCTTGCTACCCAGTAGGTGCTCAGGAGTCCACCCGCTCCTTAATATCCCCTTCCACAGGCCAGCCAAGTGGTGCGGGGGAGGGAATGTACTTTGGAGTCAGGGGACCCATGTGGCCACGCGTGCGTAACTGTGTGAGCGCAGCGCCGACATTGCTTCCGCTGGAGCTCAGTGTTGCTGTTATTACCAGTGACAGCTGCCAAGGGAAAGAGAGTCCTCATTTGTGTCCCCAAAGCCAAGTGTGTGGGTTACCTCTCCTGCCAGCTCTCCCTGGGAGCACGAAGCTAGTCTGAGCTATGTCTGAGCTGCTCCCACTATGCCACCCGCTGCTGGTCTAGCCTCAACCCTGCTGTGTGGAATTGGCTGGAGGCAGGTCTCAGCTGATGAGGGGCCCTGCGGAGGACGAAGCCTGGAGCCTGTTTCTCCAGGCTCAACGTGGGGGGTCGCCTCATGGTGATGGAGATCGCCTGGGTATATGGAACTGTGTGTGGTTGGCCTCAGTGGGTGGTCTTCCTTCAGCCTGCGGGACAGATGGAGGGGCACAGCTGCCCATGGACTCAGGCTCTGGGGCTTCTGGAAGGCATGAGGAGGGCAGGTGCGATGCCTGGGGGCATTCAGCAAATGCCTGGCCCTGCCCGCTGTGCCCACTTGGCCTGGAAGGCTTGCGCACGGCTGTCTTGAGGGTCCTTTATTTCATTCCTGGTTCATTTCAAAGTGTCTGTGTCTTGTTTGGAGCAGCTTGGGGGTAGAGCCCGTTGACAAAGACACCCTCAGGCAGCCACCACGGACTGTGGGGGACACCATCCTCAGCAGAGCCCTCATCCTGAAGATCTTCATGTCCGCAGTTGTCATCATCAGTGGGACCCTCTTTATCTTCTGGAAGGAGGTGAGCGAGGGCCGCCTCCTCTTGTTCTGTAAGAGTTCTCCAAGTCCTGGGGCCGTGCAGATGCTGGGGACTGCAGTCCCTGCCCTCCTGCCCCAGCTCACGTCTGGGAGAGGCAAACATGTACACACACAGGACAATGTGCCATCAGAGGGACGGGGAGCATGAGGCAAAGGGACTGGGTGACCCCTGAAGGAAGGGAGGTTGCCAGGTGTGTGCCTGGGAACTGCAGAGGCTGGCGGGGTGGGGATGACTTTGCCAAGACAGGAGTTGAAATGTACATGAGGCCCCATACATCAGGTTTCTTTCTACATGAGACAGGATGCCCCCTGTTCCCTTGTCACCAGCAAACAATTTGAAACCTGCTAAAGATCCTCCTGTGTTATGCTCTAGAGGTGACTGTTTGCTTTGGATCTGGGCCTGGGTCAACTTTTCAAGGCCTGCAGGTTCAGGGAGCTCTGGGCCAGGATGGGCAATGACCTAGGTGGGAAATGAGGCAGGTGACCCATGTGACCACACTGCAGGTCGCACATGTGCAGGAAGAGGGAGGGACCCTAGCCAGGAACCCTGCATCCATTTTTCCTCCTGCTCTCCGTCTGCCCCAAGCAGAACAGCTCTGTTTCTCCTGCCTTCTTACCGGCCTGGGAAGGCCGTGAAGGCCCCTGCGCTTGTCCAGCTTGGGGTGAAAATGATGGGCCAACCTGGTGGTCCTCCGAGTGGGGTCCCAGTAGTGGCGTCAGCACCCCTGCACCCCTAAGAATTGAGCTGCCAGGCGCTGCCTCTGTCTCCACTTTAACACACATGCTCCAGGAGACTCAGCTGCACGCTCATGGCTTAGCCCTGTGGTGTGGCCACCGAGTACAGGAGGGTATCCATGGCCTGCTGCCCCAGCCAGGCAGAGGAGCCTCTCCTCAGGTGGTGGGAAGTTGAGGTGAGAACTGCTGGCTGAGCGTGGTGGCTCACCCCTGTAATCCCAGCATTTTGGGAGGCTGAGGCAGGTGGATCACCTGAGGTCAGGAGTTCAAGACCAGCCTCACTAACGTAGCAAAACCCTGTCTCTACTGAAAACACAAACATTACCCAGGCATGGTAGCTCACCCTGGTAATCCCAGTACTTTGGGTGGCCAAGGCGGGTGGATCACCTGAGGTCAGGAGTTCAAGACCAGCCTGGCCAACATGGTGAAACTCCGTCACTACTGAAAATACAAAAATTAGCCAGGCATGGTTGGGTGCCTGTAGTCCCACCTACTCAGGAGGCTGAGGTGGAAGAATTACTTGAACCTGGGAGGCAGAAGGTTGCAGTGGGCTGAGATCGCATGACTGCACTCCAGCCTGGGTAACAGCGTGAGATTCCGTCTCAAAAAAATAACTGCCCAGGAGCTTCTGACCGTGGGCTGGTCTCACCTCTCAGCTCTGGCCATACCCTGCAATGTCGCGCACTCCTGAGACCCTGCAGGGCTCACAGCTGGGCAGGACTCCAGGGTTTCTCTCAGAGCTGCACTCGGTCACCTCACAGCCTCTCATCGCCGCGGGCATCAGCCATCCTTCAGCCTGCCTTGTAGGAAGTGATGTTCACGCTGTGGGTTTAACTGGAGGCATCACCTCCCTGGGAGACAGTTACTTCCTGGAGGAGGCGGTGTTTCTTCTGGCTGTGGGTGCCCCGCCCCCATCCTCGTGGTGGCAGCAAACCAGCATGTGCTGGGGAGACCCTGGTGTGGCACCCACTGACCTCACACCTGGAGGAAGCTGTGACCCATTCCTATTACTGAGCTTATAAGTGGCCCCCGGCCGTGCCCCAGGAGCCGTGAGGCAGGCCTGTGCCCTTTGGTTCAGGACGAATGATATCTCGTCCCGTCTAACCTCTCGCCCGTGCGCTTGCCTTCCAGATGCCTGAAGACAGAGCGAGCACTCCCCGCACCACAACGATGACCTTCACTTGTTTTGTGTTTTTTGATCTCTTCAACGCCTTGACCTGCCGCTCTCAGGTGAGACCAGGGCTGACCCTCCTTGCTGCAGAGCTGTGGCGTGTTCTCGACAGCAATGCCCCAGCCCTGCCCACAGCATTGAGCGGCTCTGGCTCAGCGTGGGCAGCCAGAGCTCTCCTGCCTGCACCTGGGCTATGGACAGCACACAATCCCCCATGTCACTTTCTCCCCACAGACCAAGCTGATAGTTGAGATCGGCTTTCTCAGGAACCGCATGTTCCTCTACTCCATCCTCGGGTCCATCCTGGGGCAGCTGGCGGTCATTTACATCCCCCCGCTGCAGAGGGTCTTCCAGACGGAGAATCTGGGAGTGCTCGGTGAGTGGCGGGGACGGGAACGACAGGTGACCTCAGACCAGGGCCGTGGGGGGCGCGGCAGCTGCCAGGCGGGGAGCTGCAGCCCAGGAGGGGCGAGCGCAGGAAAGCGCAACTCACCAGGGGCCGGCTCTCTCTTCAGGGACTTTCTGTCCTCACAGGAAGGGACTCTAATGTAGGTGATGTGAGGGGGGCACAGAGGACACACAGAAACCTCCAGGAAGAGGCCCCTTGCTCAGGAATAGGGACTGGGGTCCAAGGGGCATCGGCATCACAGGCGTCGGGCTAGAGGCTCAGAGCACATGAAGGGAGCTGTGCAAGGCCTGGACTCAGCCTGGGACTGGGGAGCCTGGACTTGACCCTGGGGCCAGTAGTGTGACTTAGCGATCTGGTCACCTGAAGACAGGGAGCTGGTCTGTCTTCTGGTTTTGGCTGGAAGGGACATGATTCAGTCACCATGGTTTTCCAAGGACACACACTGTGGTGTGGGGCCCAGGGAGCTCCTCGACATCCTCAGCCAAGTGAACGTGTCACCCTTCTCTGAAGCTGCAGTGATGGCAGGTGTGGGGGCAGGGTTGGGAGGAAGAGGGAGCCAGGGGCAAATCATCGACCCCACCCTTCTCCCCACGGTGCTGAGTCACCCCCACCACGGAGTAGAGGACGAGGGAGGCTGGTGAGGCAGCCTTCATGGGCCACCCCCCGCTGGCAGGGCTCAGAGTGGGTCGTGGCTCAGATCTGGAGGGGCATGGAATTATCCATCAGGCCTGAGGCTGCAGTGACAACGGTCCTATGTGCTCCAGGCAAGACTGGGATGGTCAATTCTGCCCTGTCCTCCAAAAAGCAGTGTGGGTCACCAGCAATGCCCTGCAGGAACAGACAACAGGAAGCCCCAAAACAATGTGCTCACTGGAGGTTTCTACCTGCTGGGAAGGCCGTCTTCCCACGGCTGAAGGGGTTGTGCTTGGCAGCCCGTATGTCGGGAGTCATGGCAACAGGAAGCCAGGGATCATTCCTCACTACAGCACATGATGGGAGCAGAGGAAGACGCTGGGAATTCATCCCAGGGAATGTGTCAGGGTGCACTGGACAGGGAGCCCAGACTGGTCACTCAGGACATTTGCAAGCACCAGCGTGCTGGAGCAGGTGCTGTCAGGAAAGGAAACCCATTCCCCTTCCAGCCCGAGTCCGTAACATGCCCCCAGCTGCCTGCCAGACCACCCTGTGCGCTGGAGCTGCCTGGAGCTTGCCTTGAAAGATGGGCAGGGCCTTCTGAACTGTAGCATTTTGGATCCAGGGTTGGGAAGATCTCCCTGCCTTGGGGGTAATGAAAAGGGCTGGTCCTCTGCACCTCTCACTTGATCAGGAGGACGTTCAGGGAAGGAGCTTCCTGCCGGGGCGCAGAGCTGCGTGGTGTGCTCTCTGACCCTTTTCTGTTTTCCCCTGTGGCAGATTTGCTGTTTTTAACTGGACTGGCCTCATCTGTCTTCATGTTGTCAGAGCTCCTCAAACTATACGAAAAACACTGTTGCGGCACCCAGAGAGTGAGTCCAGACGCAGCATGAAGATGTGTAGTGGCCCTCACTCTGCGGCACCTTCCCCAATCATCTCCATCTGGATGTGCCTGTGGCCCCTGCGGCGTCTCCTCTTCAGCGGAGACTTTCAGGACGGACGCCGCAGCCTTCTGTCAGTGACTCAGTTTTTCCTCCTGGGAACGCTGCAGGCATCTCGTGGGCTCCGGGGACCCAGGTCCACATCCATCCAGCACGCCCACTGGCTCTGGGACAGACAGGGAGGGGCCTGTCCAGAAACATCACACTATTTATTAAATCACAATGATTTTTATTAACCACGTCTATATATGCATCTGTGCCACAGCTTGCAGTGACGCAGGCCACTCGTGCCAGATACATGGGGCTTCTGAGAGGTAGTGGGTAGGATGGTCACACTCTGCCCATTGTCTTCCTGGAGGCCCCACCTCCTCATCATAAAATGAGGGCTTTTTAAATAAAGTGCCATACCAGGGGCTATTATTCTTTTGATGCGTTTACCTAGGGTTTTTCATACAAGGGGCCAGGTTGGAAACCCACAGCTGTGTGTTAATGGCCACGTGGGGTGAGCAGCAATCCATCATGAATGGCCTATGGGAAGGCTTTTGGAGATAAAGAGCAGGGCTGGGCACGGTGGCTCACACCTGTAATCCCAGCACTTTGCAAAGCCAAGGCAGGCGGATCACTTGAGGCCAGCCTGGCCAACAGAGCAAAACCCTGTCTCTACTAAAAATAAAAATAAAAAAAAAAGCAGCCAGGCCTGATGATGCGCACCTGTTAATCCCAGCTACTCGGGAGGCTGAGGCACGAGCATGGCTCGAGTCCTAGAGGCAGAGATTGTACCACTGCACTGCAGCATGGGCAACAAAGCAAGATTCTCTCTCAAGAAGTGACCCTTCTCTCCGGAATCGGGAGCAGCAGTGTCTCCTGCTGCCTGCAGAGGAGCTTGATTTCCCACTGCCCCACAGACTTCCAAAAACGGATCTGCTCTTCCACGTGGCACAGGAGAGGTCTCCATGCTGTTCTTCTGCCTGAAGCCACGCTAGAACCACTAACGAGAACCAGAAGGGGAACTCCGTCCCCATCTCTCAGGAAATGAGGCCAGAGCTAGAACCCCCCAGTTGCTAGTCAGGCCTCACTAGAGAAACAGAACCAACAGGATGGAGAGAGATGCAGAGATTTGTTTCAAGGAACTGGTTCATAGGATTTGTGGGGCTGGCAAGTCTAACATCTTGAGGGCAGGCCCGCATCCTGGAGACCCAGGGAAGAGCTGGGGACGCAGGCTGGAGGCAGAATTTCCTCCTCCTCAAGGGAGTTCAGCCTTTTCCTCTTGTAGTCCTCAACTGATTGGATGAGGCCCACTCACATGACGAAGGATAATCTGTTTTACTTCAAGTCTGCGGACTTACATGTTAGTTACACAGTGCCATCTAGACCAGCGTTTGACAAAAATGAACTTGGCCTGGCCAAGTTGTCAGATAAAAGTAATCAATGCACCCAGCCACAGTAGCTATGAAAAGGGCTACCAGGGGTGGTAACAGCTGGGTCGGACCAAGATAAGGAAGGTATGAGTGGACCCCTGCCTGGGTTCCAGGCAGAGTCCAAAGTCCTCCATGGTAGGATTCAAAGCCTGGGAAGAAGCCCTTCTCCGACCCAACCTGTGACACCAGGGCCACAGGAGGAGATGCAGAGACGGCCATTCCTAGTGAGACGCAGACATAGGGCTGGCTGGAGAAGAAACCTTTTGAGCAGTGGGGCTGTCTTTCCAGAAGCTGCCAACCCATGGAACCACTAAGAGGTCAAGGCTGAATTGTGCCACTTCCACAGTCTGCTAAGGGGTGCTTCCCCCTGAGGCAGGGATACTTCCTGCTCTACTTTTCAGGATCCTTTAGCACGTTGCTGGCCCAAGAAACTTACTTCCCATTTAAAAATAAGTGATCAAAAAACCAGGTTCGACTGATATTCGCAATAACAACAAAAATTACTCTTAACTCTTGCTTATACCATATAAAACTTTAGGGATAAAATTGTAATAAGACACAAAATGCTAACAATAAAATATAAATTAGACTACATTAAAACTAAGACCTTCTTTTCATTAAGGATACAGTAGACTTGAACACCACCATTAAGCAACTTAGCTTGATTTACATTTGTAGAACACCCATCCACGAGTAGCACAGAAACAGTCAGCAAAATAAAGAGCAGAAATCAAACGCAAAAGCAAAAATAGAGGAAAATCAATCAAAACCTAGTTCTTTGAAAAGATCAATAAAACTATCAGTCTTGCAAGAAGCTTACCAAAAAAGGGAAGATAAATTACCAATGTCAGGAGTGAAAAAGTATATCACAAACCCTTCAAGATATTCCAACAATAATAAGAAATAATACTATGTATATCTTTATGTACCTAAATTCAACAAATTGGATGAAATAAACCAATTCCTTGAAAACCAAAAACTACTAAAACTCACTGAAGATTAAATAGACAAGCTGAAGTTGAAACGCTTCCAAAAAAAGGCAGTTTCTGAAGCCAGACGATTTCACTGGTGAATTTTACTAAACTTGTAAAGAAATGTCAATTCTATACACTGTATTCCAAAACTAAAAGGGGACTGAGCACTTCTCATCTTATGAGGCCAACAATCACTCTGATACCAAAACTAGAGAAAAATGCTAGAGACTAACATCCCTTATGAATAGATGCACGAAAATCCTCAACAAAATGTGAGTAAATCAGATCTAGCCAGGTACGAAGAATGTAAGACACCACGACGAGATGGGGTTAATTGAGGAATGGAATTCAAACATTCAAAAGTTCAGCATTCAAAAACCAGTATAACTGACTACATTAATAGTCTGAAGAAGGAAAAACACATGGTTATATCAATTAATGCAGAAAAGGCAGTTGATAAAATTCAATCTCCATTTGTAATAAAAACTCTCAAACTAGCAATTGAAGGAAACTTCTTCAACCTGATAAAGAACAGGTACAAAAAACCTACAGCTAACATCATACTTAATGATGAAAAACTCAATTCTTTCCCCACAGGATAAGGTCCAAGGGTGACCAGCCTCACCACTCCTATTCAGCAGAGTATTAGAAGTCCTAGCCAGTGTAATATGGCAAGAAAAGTTAAAAGGCATTAGAAAAGGGCCTGAAAAGGAGAAAATCACAGATAACATAATTGTCTACACAGAAAATTCCAACACATCTTTTTAAAAAAGAAAAACCCTCCTAGAATTAACGAGTTTAGTAAAGCCACAAGATACAAGGTTAACACACAAAAATGTATTTCTATACATTAGCAATGAACAATTGGAAACGGAAATTAAAAATTGAATACTGTTTGCCTGTCTCAAAAAAAAAGTATCAGTTCTCCCCAGATGGTTTTATTAGGTTTAACACAATTACTATTAAAATCCCAGGATTTTTTTTTTTTTTTTTTTTTTTTAACACAGATAACGTTGGTTCTAACAAGCTTGGTACAATATTGTTATCAGCAGACTATTGAATGTCACTGGTTCTTTACCTAGTACCTGAGTTAGGCAAACCTGGAGTTTAAGGGCACAGTGCTCCAAATGGCTGGCCAAGTCTGCCCCAGGTCTTCTGGATACGACTGCAGGTGTCAGGAGTTCCTCAACCATCTTCAGGTGGGATAATTCGTGATGGAGGCCCACAGACTCACTGACCCTGGTTCTTTCACGGGCGCCATGTCTGATTTACAGGAAAAACATACAGATTAGAACAGGGGCCAGGGCTGCAATGCAGGAGACTGGTCACCCTCTCCTCTGAGCTCACAGTTTCCGGATGTCCTGCTGGGGCCTTTCTAGCAATCTGGGTCTGAGGGTGCGTTTCCAGGGCCCCCTACAACACAGTTTCTAATGCCCAACGTGTGTGCACATCATTCATGTAACCAGCTGCCTACAATGAGAAGGCAGAACTGTTCCATCGGCCCCTGGAAAAACTACCCCCTTCGTTACTACGTTTTTATGGTAACACCCTCTAATCCCGCACCTCTATCCGTTCTTCCTCACTATAATGTTGTTCCCTCATAATGGCTTACGTAAAAACTGGGAATGATGCGATTTAAACCTTTTTAGACTGGCTTTTGTCATAAGTATGATACCTGTCGGGCTCTGTTAAGGTTTGGTGGTGTTTTTACATGGCTGACTAGTTTCCACTGCAGTGGAAGGGACACAGTTTATTTATCCCACTGAACTCATGAGTGACAGGAAACCTCCTGCTACAATTTTTGCAAGTTCGTATCGAATCTAAAATTTATTTCAAAGAAAGTGTATAAGAAGATAAGACTACAAAATAGAGCAATAACACACGTAGATGTAAGGCAACAACACACTGACGACAGACAGCGCACAGTCTAATCAGGACAAGAATTAAAAGCAAAGGGCCAAACATTAAGGGGACAAGAAGGACATTTAACAAGGTAGTAATCACCACTGAAAAATCCATAGGCCGAGGATACCAACACAACTTCAATAGTTAAAGAGGAATAGCTATGGGGAAATTCAGGAAAGATGAACGAAATCATTAGGATTTAATGTACCCACATGCAAAGGACAGAAACCTCAGGAGTAGATCCAAGAGTAATTAGTATACATGACTTCTCTGGGCTGGGCCACGGGTGGTTCAGACCTGTATCGCCAGAACTTTGGGAGGCAAGCGCGGTTGGATCGGCTTTGGAGTAAGGAGTTTGGACCAGCCTTGGGCAACATAGCGAACGACCCCCTCCTACTAATAAAAATCAAACATTAGCTGTGCATGGGTGGGCGGCACTGTAATCCCAGATCTTTAGGAGGCTGGGCAGGAGAATCGCGTGGAACCTGGGAGGGCAGAGGTTAGTAGTGAGGTGAGATCGCACCACTGCACTAGCCTGGGTAACAAAGCGAGGCTCTAGTCTTCAAAAAATAACACAGAAGAATCTCTAATCTACTACGCTATGTAATTAAAGAGACAGTCACAGGAGACTACGCGGAATTTCCTGGCATACCAAAATTTTAAAACTCTGGGTACAAGAGGGAATTCAAAATGAAAGGCCACACGAAATCTAGGACGCTTCGATCCAACACACACCTATCGTATCATATACAATACTGCAAAAGTACTCAGGGCCCAAGAAAAAGTAATAGCTTTTAGATGTATTCTTTACTTCCATCCCTTTTTCATTAGTAAACTTTCAAAAAACTGAAAAAAACCTAATTACAGAAGAACAGCAGGAAGAAATAAGTATAAAGGCAAATTAGTAACTGCAAATCTAGGAGAATGGAAAACACAAGGAAGAAGAAAAAAACGAGTAACTACAAAGAGTTTCAATACTTTGGGACCAATATTAACATAACGTATTTGAAGATCTTCCAGCAGAGATAAACAACAATCCGAAGGGATAGAAGGAAATGAATAAGGTGCAAGAGTTCAATCCATCTCTCACCTACATCATCAGAGAACAGGCGAATGGCAGGACCCTGCAATTGCATTTTAAGAGCTCGCTTAGGCAAAATCGGGATACACGCTAAAGGGGGGAGAACTACCTGGATAAAGGAGTCAGTAAGCTGGGCTGAGTGGCATCATGGCTGGAACCCAGCACTTTGGGAGGCCGAGGGATCTGTTTGAGGCTCAGAAGTTTGAGACCTAACCTGGGCAACATGGCGAAACCATCTCTAAAAAACACAAAATTTAGCTGGAGTGTGTGCCGCATCTGTAGTCCCGTGTC